GTCCTCAACAAGACAACCCTCACTTCAGATGCCAGTCACAAGTTTGGCCACTTGCTCCAAATGGCTACACATCTGGGGAGTTCCAATGACACCCCCTCAGGTTTGATAATTTGCTAGAACAACTCACAGAACTCAGGAAAATGTTATACTTGCAATTACAGTAAAGGATACAAATCAGGAGGACCAGCCAAATGAAAAGACACATAGGGCAAAGCCTGGGAGGGTCCTAAACACAGAGCTGCCATGTGCCCTCCCTGTGGAATCAGGGGGCATCACCTTCCCCACACATCCTTGTGCTCACCAACCAGGAAGCTCCACCAAACTTCAGTGTTCGGGGTTTTCTTCTGTAGGCATGACTGATTGAATCATTGGCCCCATGATTGAATTCAATATCCAGGTGCCCTTCCATCCCTGGAGGTTGGCATGGCTCAAAGCCCCAACCCTTTAATCACATGGTTGATTTTTCTGATGACCAGCCTTTCATCCAAAGTCATCTCATTGGCATGAACTCAGGTGTGATCCAAGGGACTCATGAATAATAAAGATACTCCTATTACTGAAGAAATGCCAAGGAATTGGGGTCTTTTCCAGGACCCAGGGACAAAGGGCAAATTCTTTATTCTACAATAGGGACATATAATTTAGTTGGCCCTCCATATCTTCGAGTTCTGCATCCGCGGATTCAACCGACTGCGGATCGTGTGCTATGTTTACCACCAGAGGTTGGTTGAATTTGCAGATGTGGAACTGGCAAATACAGAGAGCTGACTACGGGATTTGAGCATCGCCAGATTTTGGTATTCCTTGTGGGTCCTGGAACCAATTCCCTGCAGCTACTGAGATATGACTGTATTATAAAATAGAGATGAGAAATCCTGACATATCTTGAGAAATCTATCACAAGAGCTTAAGTATTTAGCAAGTGCATTATGAAAAGAAATCAGCCAAGTGCAGTGTCTTATCATGGAAGCATAGGATCCAAGCATCCAGTTACTGTAGGAATTGAAATTGGTTGTAATAAAGGCTCAGACATTGTACAGGAATTAGTATTACAAAAGATGAGAGAAGTTGAGGACTATGTCAAGATGCAAAAACGAAAGATTTGTCACAATTTACTTATCCTTTGCTTTCTCTTAGGGATGGAACAAGACTAAAGATTAACCCAGGAAGCATATAGTAAAGTTGGCTTCCTCCCTTGTACAATTCCACATTAAACATATTCCACATTTATATTCATATGGAATTGATTTTGAGTAGAGAGAGACAATCCTAATCATTAATGTATTTCATATGGTTAGAACCAATGTATCACTTATGTAATGTAATAAAGCTCTCTTTTCCCTCTAGCTTGAAATGCGTATTTTACCGTACACCTGTTGACCTAAAACAGACTGCCAGGTACTTCTCCAGCAAAAGTAAGTTTACTCTGGATCAGCAAAAAATTGCAATTCAGAGCCTGTAACCACAGCAAGAGGAGAGCAAGTCCCTGCACAGGAAGGAGAGGAAAACCTCTTTTAAAAAGGGGAAAAGGAAGTTGGGAGGGCTATAGTAAACAGTCCACTGGAGGAATTGAGAGTTCAAAGTACAGTGGCTTGTCATTGGTTGAGTTGTGACAGCCTCTCATTGGCTGAGCTCTTGCCGGGAAGAAGAGGAAGTCTTTCTTTTTCCTGTTGGGCTTTGCTATTGTCACAGGGTGTGAGAGCTCCCCCTTCTGGCCTCCTGACTATTTTAATTGAGGTTTCCGTTTATCAATTTTTTTTTTTTTTTTTTGCGGTACGCGGGCCTCTCACCGCTGCGGCCTCTCCCGTTGCGGAGCAACAGGCTCCGGACGCGCAGGTCCAGCGGCCATGGCCCACGGGCCCAGCTGCTCCGCGGCACGTGGGATCCTCCCGGACCGGGGCACGAACCCGTGTCCCTGCATTGGCAGGCGGACTCCCAACCACTGCGCCACCAGGGAAGCCCAGCCCTCAATTTTTATATACCAAATTCTTATATACAACTTAGGTCTCTTTCTGGGCTTTACGTTCTGTTTCATTGATTAAGCTGTTTTAGTACCAGCAACACTTGATTTTAATTATTGGGTCTTTCCATTACATTTTAACATCTAGTAGGTCTGATACCCTTTCATTCTTTTTTTTTTCCCAAAAAATCTCTTGAACATTTATTACATTAAAAATCCTATTATTATTGTAATTGCCTTATATTCATAGATAACTTGGGAAAATTGATATATTTACAATAATGAGGATTCACATTCAAGAACTAGGGGTATTTGCATTAATGTTTATGGTCCTTCAAAAACATTTGTAATCTTCTTTCCAGGGATGTGAATGGATGTGTTTCTTTTGAGTGTGTTTCTTAAGTATTTTCTATATCAATATTGTGAATGTGAATTTTCTAATTATATATTCCAACAGGCTGTTGCTGATAAATAGAAAATCTATTGCTTTTATATGTCATTTTGCAATTGTCCACGTATCTGCCCTTAATAGTTTTACAGTTGATACTCTTTGATTTTTTAGGAAGATAATCAAGTCTGCAAGTAAGAATACTTTGATCTTTTCCTCCTTTCCAATATATCCAATATATATTTAAGCTCTTTAATTTTATATTATCTTATTGTATTGGATATGATTGCCTAGGAAGTGTAAATAATAGTTAATGATAGTGGCCATAGTGGGAAATTTGCCTAATCATAGGAATGTTTCAGTATGTGTTATGTTGTTTGTTGATTCTTAAGCATGATAAGGAAGTATCTTTCTATTCTTAGGTTCTAAGAATTCTTTTTTTTATATACTTATAGGATTACTTGTTCAATTTTATTAACTATCAGTAATCTAGATGATCATGTGGTTTATCTCCTTTGGCTTACAGGTGTGACAAATTTGTATATATTTAAAAATATTAAGCTATCTTTGAATTCTTAGTTAAAATATCTCATACTAAAATTTCATCTTCTGGATCAGGACTCTGGAAACCTTAAAATTTCTTCCAGAAATTCTATATATCCAGTCAGCTCCCAGAAAACCTCCTATAACTAACCTCTCAAAAAGAAGACATTTTTTCCCCTTTGTTCTTAGTCCAATATCAAAGGGAACCTCCAAATTCCAAGTAGGTCAGGCTACTAATACACACAAATCAATTCTGATAAAATCATCATACAATAAGTGACTGTTGTTTACTAAGTGATTACTCGGTGCTAGGCATTGGATTAAGATAAATATTTTACTTAAGCCTTAAAATTACCCTTAGTTTCTCATCAAAAGTATACTGTAGTTGAGACAGGAGGGAAGGGGACAGAGCACAACCTTTAAAAGAATGACATAGCCATTGAAGATATGACAAAAATTGGTTAGAACCTAATAGGCCCAAGATGGCAGCAAGATTCAACTTCCAGTAGACCTTGAGCCTCATTATAGGCTCACTGTAATACACTAGGCTGCTAAATGGAGTAGGACCCTATGGCCCTTCCCCCACACCCACTCCTATCCTATGTCCTCAGTCTGCCTTTTGTCTGTAGAAAAACTTTAGCCAAAGAATAAGTTTAATCAGAGAAGTGAGAAAAATGAAGAAGCAAAGGAAAGTAGTCAAACAGGACAAAACAATAATAGTTTAGTCATTAAGCAAAGTCAAGGACTTTTAGTTCCTCCTCAAGGGCTATAGGTAATATTCTGAGCCATATTCTTTGAGCTGTCTTGTAAATACTGAAAACCCCACCAGGGAGAAGAATTTAACTACATAATGACCAGACTGTAGCCATGACATAAGTGGCCACAATTCCGAGAACTGGCCTCAAAGAAATGGGAACAAACCCTCCCTGGAACGGAAGGCTAACTGTATTTAAAACAAATCAAGATGACGCTGGTTAGACGACCGATGACCAATTTCAAGATGACCGTCAGAGCGGACTGTGCTGTTTCTGCATGTAGCCCCCTCCCTCTGCCTATAAAGGCTCTTGCCGGGACTTCCCTGGCAGTGCAGCAGTTAAGACTCTAAGCTCCCAATGCAGGGGGCCGGGGTTCGATCCCTGGTCAGGGAACTGGATCCCACATGCATGCTGCAACTAAGAGTTCACATGCCGCAACTAAGACCCAGCAAGACCAAATAAATAAATGAAAAGAAAAAAAAAAAAGATACTGAAAACTGACTGATAATGAAAACACAACAGGCTGAAATTGGACATGGCTAAAGCAATACTTAGACCAACAGAACAAACTCAAAGAAGCAAGAAAGAATGAAACACTAAGATGAAATAGAGAACAACAACTTATATAATAGAGAATATTAACAAAATCCAAAAGCTGGTTTGTTGAAAAGTTTCTTAAGATAGACCATTACCTAACCAACAAGAAAAAAAGAGAAAAGTTACCAAAAAAGTAAAGCTTAAAAAAAAAAAAAAGCTCTTGCCCACTGATGGGGGAGGGGGTTGGCCTTTGGGCAGGAGTCTGCCCCTCAACCCCCTGCCCTCGTTGTCAGCCTCCGAAATAAAGCAAACTTTCCTTTCCATCAACATTGCCCCTCTAGTATTGGCTTTAGAGAGACAAGCAGCCCAGCCGGACCCCACTTTTGGCAACAAAATGACACACCCAGAGGTGCTATGACAGTTCCAAGGCCAACCATAAAAGGCCAAAGAGTGGCCCAATTCCTGGAAATCCCTGCGCCTTCTCCAAATAGCTGGAATATTCCTCCCACTCATTAGCCAATGAAATTACCCAGCCCATAAAAACTAAGCACCCCATATTTCCGGGCCATGCGCACCTCCTGGGACAGACCGCATTCTGTCTATGGAATGTGTACCCCTGCTTTCACTTTACTATGGCTCTGTACTTGAATTCTTTCCTGCCCGAAGCCAAGGACCCTCACTTGGCGGCCCTTCCCAGGAACTTGCCTGAGACCTGGGACATGACCATCCTCTCGTGCCCCATTTTCCTGCAGATGCTTTACAAAAAATATTAATAAATCTACTTACCTATCACTTTGCCTCTCGCTGAATTCCTTCTGTGCCAAGACATAAAGAACGTGAGCTTCATTAAGTCCTGAGACGAGCTGTGTTAAAAAAAAAAAAAACTCTGCTTACAATGATAATTTTCAAACCTACACAAAAGTAATGAGAAGAGCATAGTGAGTCTTCTTGTATCTGTCGCAAAGCTTCAACAACTGACAAAATTTGGTCATACTCATTTAATCTACCCAGACCACATTTTCCCCCCTGGGTATCTTTTAAAACAAATTCCAAACATTGTACCATTTCATTTATAAATTCTTCAACATTATACCCAACTCATATTGAGTCCCTGCAAGCTGACAGCATATTGCTAAAGCGCAATTCATTATAAGAGATTCTTTTTTTAAAAAATAAATTTATTTATTTATTTATTTATTTTTGGCTGCATGCGGGCTTTCTCTAGTTGCGGCGAGCGGGGGCTACTCTTGGTTGTAGTGCTGGGGCTTCTTATTGCGGGGGCTTCTCTTGTTACCGAGCACGGGCTCTAGGCTCGCGGGCTTCAGTAGTTGTGGCTCGCAGGGTCTAGAGCGCAGGCTCAGGAGTTGTGGCACAGGGGCTTAGTTGCTCCGCGGCATGTGGGATCTTCCCAGATCAGGGATCAAACCTGTGTCCCCTGCGCCACCAGGGAAGTTCCTATAAGAGATTCTATAAAGGTTTAAAGCAATGCAATCCAAATTCACAGGGCAGTGAATGTAATTACACAATCTACAGAACTGGAGGAAATACATACTCTTCGAAGAATCCTACATGGACTTTGTTTCACTTAACTGAGTTTCTGATAAGAATTGGGAGGGAGGGAGTGATGTTCAAGGTTATGTATTCTGGCAAAAACTTAAGAGTGCAAATTATTCTTGTTGGTTAAGAGAGATCCATTAAGCAGAAAGTAGACTTAGTATCTTGTAGAGAAATTATATAGCCTAACCAGAATTCATAACACCTAGTCACTGCACAGGCAAGTGACTTGAGCTCTTGGCAGGATTCTCTGAGATGAACTGTCTTTTATCAGAATGGTGTCTCTTAAAAGTGGACAGCCAGAGTGAAAGAAGCCACATCCCATCTACCCCCAAAGTACCTTCTTATGATTTCATTTATATCAAAGTCTAGAAAATGCTTATTAACCTATAGCGACAGTAAGTAGGACAGTGGTTGTTTGGGAATGGGGGTGGGGAGGGGGAGGAGAAAGGGAATTACACAGAACAAGAGAAAACTTTATGGGATTGTGATGATGGTTTCACGGGTGTATACATTTGACAAAACTTATTGAAGTCCACCCTTTAAATCTGTGCAGTTTATTTTTTGTCAATTATACCTTCATAAATATATTTTTTAAAACGAATAGCCAAGGGATTTCCCTGGTGGTCCAGTGGTTAAGACTCCACGCTCCCAATGCTGGGGGCCCAGGTTCTATCCCTGGTCAGGGAACTATATCTCGCATGCCGCAACGAAGATCCCGCACGCCGCAGTGAAGATCCCGCCCGCCACAACAAAGATCCCGCATGCGGCAACTAAGAAATGGCGCAAAAAAAAAAAAAAAAAGAATAGGGACTTCCCTGGTGGTCCAGTGGTTAAGAATCTGACTGCCACTGCAGGGGATACGGGTTTGAGCCCTGGTCTGGGAAGATCCCACATGCTGCGAAGCAACTAAGCCCGTGCGCCACAACTACTGAGCCTGCGCTCTAGAGCCTGCGAGCCACAACTACTGGAGCCCGCGTGCCTAGAGCCTGTGCTCCGCAACAAGAGAAGCCACCGCAATGAGAAGCCCGTGCACCGCAACGAAGAGTAGCCCCCGCTCGCTGCAACTAGGGAAAGCCCGCGCAGCAACGAAGACCCAGTGCAGCCAAAAATAATAAATAAATAAATATATATATATATTAAAAAAAAAAAAGAATAGCCAAAGGGCAGAGTAGTGGAAAGTAGATGCCATTTCAGAGATGCTCCAGGTCCGGATCACAAGGGTAACTCACAATAAGAAGAGACAGGAGTCTGAGAGCTGACATCTATGAGCCCACAAATTAAGGAAATTATGCACTCTTTGGGTTCATAAACTGCTCTTTGGTTATAGAGTCCTAAGCAGCCAGTTGGTTGAGTCAAGGGTGGAGATGTGAGCCCTGCTGGCTCAAAAGACTACCCTGGAGATATAGTCCTTGCCTCCAAGGCTCTCCCAGGTGTTCTGCGAGCAGTCTGATAAAGCTGCCAGCTTCTTAAAGCAACAGGACATTTTTTGTGTACCTGGACCTTGTCATGCTCAGGTGAAGCTGAGAACACGGTGTGTTTGTTTCTGGCTTGGTAGCTAAATATAGAAGCTAAAAAAAAAACCCCCAAAATGGGCATGGGAATTATCTGGTACCCAAATCCCACCAAGAATTGCATTGGGTGTCTAGTGGAATTTAGCCATCAGGAGGGAGAAGATGCCAGCCAGTCACTACGATCTAGAATTTTGCTGTCAGATCGGGACTCCAACCTGGACAACTGAAATTTCAGGAAGGATTGACCAATTTTTGTACGACAAATTGGTCCAAGTGGTGGCTCAATGCACGTGGGTAGAGGGAAGGCTGCTCTTGCTGGTTTCTACCTACTTACCTAACAGGCTGCTTCAGAGGAAGCACACTCCATTGACAAGGCCAGGTGTTTCCATTACTAGAGTCTTGCCCCTTTATGCTTTGCAGTCCCATCTCAAGTCCTTCATTTCTCCCACTGGGAAACATTGGGGTTGCCCAGGGTTGGCATGGGTTGCCCAATCCTACCTGCCCTGAGCTTCTTCCTCATGCCTGAGGGGCTTGAGGCTGTCCTGAGAAATGCAGAAGACTACTGCTGCATCCTCCACCTTTGGAGGATGGTTGAAGTACCAGTCTAGACTTGAGCCAGTCCTCAGGGGCTGACTAGAAGGGGTATCTTACCCTAGACAATGGAAGTTGGAAGGGCTGGAAGGGTGGGCCCCAGATAAGTCCTGGGAGAGAGCTGAGAGCCAAGCCAGGGAGCCCGAGTTCCCATGCAAGTCTAGGATGGTAGAAGGAGCTCAGTCAGGACCAACCAGGAGAGGAGCAATTTGGGAACAAAATGGAAGATGGGAGGATGGTTGCTCTGAACAGTCTGTGGCTTGTGCCACTATATCTACAGGCCATCGGAGCATCATTCATGAGGGGGGAAAGCTGGTTTGGAGCTACAGAGGCAGGGTGAGCCCCACTCACACTCCTGCTGCTGGGCTGTGGCTCCCTTAGAGTCACCAGGGGAAGACTCTGAAGAGTTCTGGGCGCTTGGGGTGGGGGGCTGTTTCATAAAACCCGTATCATTGGGTCACAATTTCCCATGCCCCTAGTATTTGGTGATGGCCATGATGCTTGATCCTAAAAAGATCCTGGTGGCTCCTACTAATGGTCGTCTGGTATTTCCGTATCTCTCAGCAGATCATTATTTTCTCTGTCACTGGGAGTTGTTCATGGCATTGTTTCACTTTGCCAGGAAAAGCCTGACCACAACAGTAATTAGACAGTGGGTCCAGTGCTCCCCTAGTGGGGCTGATGCCCCATTAGTCATGGCAGACTTTTTTTTCTTCCTTGACATAGATTTTTACTTATTTTTCTTTTTATTGGGGTATAGTTGCTTTACAATATTGTATTAGTTTATACGTACAGCAAAGTGAATCAGCTATACATATACATATATCCCCTCTTTTTGGATTTCCTTCTCATTTAGGTCACCACAGAGCACTGAATAGAGTTCCCTGTGCTATACAGTAGTGGCAGACTTTAAAGCCGCTGCCTGGATGCTGCTCTGAGGGTCCTCAGCCTTACTGAGCACTACACCCCTGGCCCAAGTTCCTGATCATTCTTGCAAATGTTCTAGGCTTCCTCTTTTTGTTCTCTCTTCCTTGGTGTCACTAATCATGGGAGATGGGTGGACTGCTCCAGTCCACTGCTCCTGACTTGAGGGGGTGAGCCGGAACTGCCGTCTCTTCATGTGACCCCCTGAGGGAGATCTCTAACACTTACACATGGATATTCTCCTTTGCATTCTAACATTTGCTATGAAACTTACTGGCATGGTTCTGGAGCTCTCCACAATTCTAAACCCTGTGTAGGTGCCACCCCAAGCATCCTGCCCCAGAGCCCAGTCTGCGTGGATGCCAGGGATATTGCTGGTGCAGGACCTATAAGCTTTGTATCAGCCTCCTTCTCTTTCTCCTTTCATGACTCTGTTATTCCTCCAGTGTATCAGAGGAAAGTTCCAGCCAGCATATTAAATGGCTAATTCTCTAGACCTGGCACAAGACTACGAGAAATCATCTTTGGTCCAAAGGCTTTGGATTTTTGGTGACTCATTATAACCATTGCATTGGTACAACTATAAACTGAGTAAGAAAAATCATGGGGCATAATGGTGGAGACCACCAGCTACACACCAAACTCCTCTCTTCTTGGGATACACACACTACATTTCCCAGACACCCTTCCAAACAGGTTTGGTCACATGACCAAGGTATCTCCAACGGAGACCAAGTTACCTCCAGTGGAATGTGAGCAGAAGTGTACATACCAAACTCCAGGCCTGGCCTATTAAAAAGCTCCCATGTTCCTCCTCCTTTCTCTTCCCCCTTCTTCTGGCTGATTGGCAGCTTGACACCAAAGGTGACCTTGGAAGCCATAAATTGAAATTGGCAAAGCCACTATCAATCCAAGTTCCTGATAGACCATGAGGAGGAGAGCTGCTCTTGGAATGCAAACCTTCTCAGCAGTGTTATATAAGAAATAAACTTGTATTATGTGAAGGCCTGAAACTTGTGTGTGTGTGTTTTAATTACCACAGCCTAGCCTACTCTAACTAATAGACGGTGAGATCAGGAAGCAATTTTATTTTCATTTCTCTTTGTCCCTTTAAGCCCATTTTGTGGGACCCATTCTCCTTCTGCTCCTTGATGGACATTTAAAACAGGTTCCATGACCTTCTGGTCATTGTATGTAATCCAAGCTCACCTGGTCTAATTTCCCCAAAAGTTTAGTAATTAAATGGTCTGGTTTCATGTAATGGTAAAACTTCAAACTTT